TCCTCCTTTTCTTACTTCCCATGTGAGCAAGTTGGCTGTCATTTACAAAGAAAGCAATTGCTATTTCAAAAGTAACTTTTGGCACCAAGTATGTTTATCTGGAGGATAGATTAAAGATAAATCCAACTATCATTATCACTTCAAAAACTCAGTAGGGCATTAGACATACAAATGTGCCCACTTATTAATGCTACAGTCAAAAAATATGGGTATTCAATCGAAACACCCTGTTTCTTTCCGGAAACTGCTGTGACTACTAAATAGTATTAACCTGAACATGTCTCAAAAAAGACACTGAATTTTAAAAAAAAGCTTTTATTCCATAAAATATAATAGTCAAAATGAAACTGAATATAGTGGTCTCCATTAAGCAATTATTCTTCCCTGCTTCCTTAAAAAAGCAGAAGTGACAAACCAATATTAGTTCAACTAAGCAACTGCATTCAACATCATATTCAAGGACTAAACCTATGTGGTATTTGACAATACTTTCCAAACAGAATCCTTACTGCAGAAAGCTGCCCCAGCATCATAAAAAAATGTTATGTGGCATCTGCCTGCATTATTATGAGCCCGAATCCATAATACGAACACAATTTACTTTATGCAAGCAGCTTAAACATTTATTAAGAACATAACGTATTTGAAACGTATTTGAATGCTCAAATCTATATGGTTGCTCCAGTAAACATACAGGCTACGTCTACACTGGCACCCTTTTCCGGAAATGCTTAAAACAGAACAGTTTTCTGTTACAACTATTTCCGGAAAAAGAGCGTCTACATTGGCAGGATGCTTTTCCGGAAAAGCCCTTTTTCTGGAAAAGCGTTCGTGGCCAATGTAGACGCGCTTTTCCAGAAAGAAGTCCCGATCGTCATTTTCGCGATCAGGGCTTTTTTCTGGAAAAGACTACTGGGCTGTCTACACTGGCCCTTTTCCGGAACAGTTTTCCGGAAAAAGGACTTTTGCCCGAGCGGGAGCAGCATAGTTTTTCCGGAAAAACACTGACAATTTTACAGTAGATTGTCAGTGCTTTTCCGGAAATTCAAGGGGCCAGTGTAGACAGCTCGCAGTTTATTCCGGAAAAGCGGCTGCTTTTCCGGTATAAGTGGCCCAGTGTAGACACAGCCACAGTGCAGAATACTGATCTCTTTACAAAAACAAACAGAATCACAGTGAAATAGTTCTTGACAGTCAGAGCCAAGAGAAAAACAATCAACGGATACCAGGACAGCTCTATAAATACATTTGTAAGTATTGTCTATAAAATTGACGTTTTGCTTTGAGTATTAATCTTCATGATTTTATAAAGGAAGATGAGACTATGCTTAGGTACAGCCCCATTCTTTCCTCTGTTGGTTGAGTTATAAAAGTCCCTGTCAAAAACACTCAGTATTCACTTTTTAATACACTGGATGCCGGGAGCTGCGATTTACTGACAGCTGGATGAATACAACCATTATAGCCAAGGAGTCAATAAATCAAAAAGAAAAAAAAATTACAATTTACTAGCTTTGGCTTTTTTCCTAAATAAAATGTAAAAGCTTAAAAGCACTATAAGTAATGATGAAGACTACATCTGAAATTACAATTTTACCTGGAAAATAAGTAGACACTTATATAACACATTTTTCCATTGATCTCAATATATTATCATTATCCTCATTATATATGAGGAAATTGAGGCAAACATTGTTTATGTGACATACCCAAGGTCATGTGGTGAATCACAGTGGCAGAACTGGGAACAGAATCCGGCTCTTCTGCCTTCCACTCCCATGTCCTATTTGCCAGACCAGTGTGAGTCTTCTGATACTGCTTTGTGTAGGGGTAGACATTACAGGGCAAATTGTTAGCTGATATGAAGTGATTGCTCCACTGAATGGAGCTATGACAATGTACATCAGTGGAGAATCTGCCCCTCGAGTAGAAATACAAACATGTTGTCCTGAGCAGGCCAGTTACAGCTTAATGAAGATATTTCAGTAGCTGACAAGTAAAGATCTTCCTTTAGTTCAGGTACTAGAATCTCAAGTTTTTGAAGCTAGATAACCTTTATTCCAGCCCTGCCTCTGCAAGGGCTTTCTACTAGACAAAGAGGTGGCAATTAAATCAATCCCCATTATAAGACTGATTTTGATTTTCATAACAAAAGGGAAAACTGCATGCTTTCAAATGTTTAATGTCAGCTAGAATATTTTAGGAAAAAGTTTATTAACTTTGGCTCGTTTGTGACTCTTTTTTGAGAGTTTTCCTGCCCAATTAAATCACATTACAGCACTCATTGGAAATATGGCCAGATTTTAACTACGATGTTGAAGTTTAACTAGCTAACTGTCTAACCAATAAAAGCTGATGCTCATTGGTTAATAGCATTGATTAAACTCAGCCAGCTCCTGGGGAGGAGGTTTTGCTGCGGCACAGCTGTTTTTGCACAAAACCCCGCAGAGTGTCCACACCGTAAGCGTGTTTCTGCGCAAGTAAATTTACAGTACAAGCAGTCCCCGGGTTACATACAAGATAGGGACTGTAGGCTTGTTCTTAAGTTGAATTTGTATGTAAGTCGGAACTGGTACATATTGTAGGGGAAACTCTAGCCAAACATTTTTCCAGAGCTCAGTTTTATTCTCCCACACCTCACTTCCCTCAGTCCTTTATTCTCAAGCTGAGGTGTCTGCTGAGAAAAGCTGCTCCGCGTCTCCCTGGTCTGCTGGGGGGAAGCAGCTAGTACGGGGTTGCCTCACCCCGTTTGTAAGTAGGGATCCAATGTAAGTCGGATCCATGTAACCCGGGGACTGTCTGTAAATCAAAAGAACAGAGGAGTTTTTGAGGTGTAGGTATTTCTCTTTCTACGAGGAATAACTCCTTTTTGTGCAAGAGTTCTTGAGCAAAAAGGTGTCTGTGGACAGGCAACAGGAAGTTTTTCCACAAAAAGAGCCAATCAAAAAAGCACAGGTGCTCTGCTGACTATTCTGTGAATAGCAATCGGAGCTTTCTTTCAAGAGAGCATCCATGCAGTCTGGATGATCTCTTGTGCAAGAAGCCTGCAGTGGAGATGTAGCCAGAGAAGCTTCGCTGTAGGCTCTGTAGTATAAAGCTTCCATAATCACTAAGCTTAGTGTAATTGCAAAGATTTTAGTTTCTGCTCCCACAGTCTAGTTTTAAGATTTTGGCAGTTACACAGTTACCATATTTAACAATTTCTAACATCCCTAATTTTGACACTTGCTCATGCAAAAGGCAATTTTAAAGGGCAAAATTATAAAACATTTACGAATTGCCATCATTTGAAAACTAGATGAGATTATCTATCAATGAAGCTTATTGAAGGGAAAAAAATCCCATAGCAACAGAGAATATATTTACTGCTAACCTCCAAAGATAAGACTTGTCCTTCATTCCCCACCCAAATTGCTCCTTGGTCTATGTACTCGTATCCATCTGCTAAATGGAATAAGTGAGGAATGGAGGGCTTGTAAGCAGTGCAAAGTGTATTAATCAGACAGGAGAATCAGGGGTTTAAATGATTTGGTAGATTCACATAAAAGCTTTAAAGGCAGAGATGGGAACTGAATCCTGGGCCTACAAGGCGGAAGACCAATATCTTACTTGCTAAACCACAAAGCCTCTTGAAGAAAATACTTCAAATTTTTGTATGTAGAGTCCAGTCCTCGGGGGTCCCATTGAAGGCATTGAAGACA